GAGCACCAGGCCTACCAACAAAATCATGCCTTTCTGCACCAAGCTTGAAGTAATCAGATCGTTAAGCATGAATGGTTATAGCTTTACACCCACCTTGTGTGCTCTTTACCGCAGAATCATCGTAGATGTTGCATAAAGGAAAGTGAACAGTTTCTGTTTAGCGGCTGTTCCCTTAAAATGACCCAGCTGCTTAGTGAGCAACTTTCCCGTCAGAAATCTCACATGCTTGGACGTGGATACCACGCGTACCTATGAGCTGAATTTGAAACCTTTAAGCTGCACATAGACGAGAAACTTCGCATTAAAATTTCAGCTTCCCAGCTTTTCTGGTTACCGAGTTAGCAATTTTTCCGCCAAATCTTTCACGTGCCCGTAGGCGAAAGCCATGAGTGCTTAGGAGCAGAGTTTGAAATCTTTAACTTACATATGCACATATAATATCTATGCAAGTCAACTATCTATCTTGTCTGTCTGGCTCCCGAGATCGTTTTCTCGCCAAAAAATTGCGTATTTTTTAAGGCGCCCGTAAGTGTGTCCCAGGCGTACGCAGATAATAATAAAATGAGAGCATCGCACATGGTGTGGGCACAAATTTAAAAATTCCAGCCTTCTAGCTTTTCTGGTCCTTGGGTTGAAAGTGATTGACAAAAAGTGCGGGCCCACAGACAGCCTCTTGCTAATATGCGCTTGTATGCGCATTTGCATATATGCAAATTGCAAAAACGCATATTGGGAAGGGGCTGTGTGTATGTGTGCATGTGTGTGTGTGTCTGTGCCTGTGTCTGTCTCTGTGTGTTTGCACTTTTTGTCACCCATTTTCAACTCGAGAACTGGAAAAGCTAGAAGGCTGAAAATTTGGGAGTATAGGCACATGCGCGACCCTCCCTTTTAATTTCATCCCTCGCGGCCACATTGGGTGCCGCGTACGGTTACTTTAAAAAAATATGCAAATTTTTTGGCGGGAAAGCGATCTCGGGAGCCATACGAGCTAAGGGGCTGGAACTTTGTAGGGATATCCCCTGTGCACGCGCTAGCAAAATATTTCAAATTCAGCTTCCAGGTATGCGTGGTACTCACGCAAAGGTGTTTGAAAGGTTTAGGGGGAAAATTGCTAACTCGGGTGCCAGGAAAGCTAGAAAGCTGAAATTTTGAAGGGATGTTCCCTATCGAAGTGCAACTCAAATACTTCAAATTCAGCCCCCAGCTCTCAGTGGTATTCACGTAAGGGCGTACGATATTTTCTGTAGGAAAATTACTAACTCGACAACCAGAAAAGCTGGAAGGTTGAAATTTTAGGGGGATGT